CATACCTATTTCTATCTAATCTTTTTAAGTAGAAGAAAAAGGGAGCTCTGAGCAAACCAGCAATGCGGTCTCTCTCATGCATGCTGTAGAGGCAAGAGCACTATGGTGTTGATGTGACGCTGTTAACTTACAGTGGTGCTGCCTTTCTTCTTTACCACTGCTTACCTCTGGATTCCACTGCTTCCCTCTGGGCCTCCTTACTAGCCTTCAGGCAACGTTTGGGTGACCCATGAAGAAATGGAAAATCTTGCAGCTCCAGCAAAAACGGTTAGTATTTACTGCTTTATTGAACGTGAAAACAAAAACTATTTTGCTGTCATTTAGATGAAAAAACTGTTTTGTTTACTATAGACCAGAGTAATGGGGTGTGTTTAGGTAGTTCTATGCAATGTTCACTAATATTTTTCATTACAGTTATTTTTTACTCTACTCACTTGACATTTCTTTAATGAAGCATGCTAGATTGTGTTAATATAATGAGTTTATAAAAAGACAAACAATAATCAAGAAATTAATAAAACTTATTTATACATTTTGCAGCATTGGTAATTTTTTGTATCACACATCACTTAGTATTGGCATATTTACAGGTAATACGTGCTATTAAACCCAAATTAATCTTGTAAGAGAATAGTCTGCATTGAAGGCTCATTTTTAATATAATTATCTAGTTTCTTGTGCTTGACCATCTCAGTTTTTCTTTTTGGCTTGACAAACGTTTAAGAAAAAAAAGAGTGCTAATTCGATATTTTTAAGAATTGGTTTAAAAAACTTTTTGGTGACTCTGATTGTAATTGTTACTTTTAAAAATATGATACATATAGTCATGTTTCATATAAAGTAACAAAGTTGGCATGCTATACATTTTATTTTCAGAAACTTTTAAAAAATAATGTCCTTTTAGTTTTATCCCTATTTGAAAAATTAACTATATAGAGTTTTATGAAGAGTAAAAATGCCAGCGTGATGTACTAATTTCTTTTTAGTTTAGTTTGGTTTAGGTTTTGTTTTGTTTTGATTTTCAATGGCTGTTTTTAAAATCTATTTGATTACTACACAAAGTTATTTTAGATGGAAAATATTACTTTTTAACTTTATTAGTTTAATTTACATTCGTTTTCTCCGTTATATATATATATATATTTGGAATCAGAAAATTTTATTATACTCCATTACATTTGGGAAATCATACATTTTTAAGAGCTAGAAAAGATTGGAAATGATAAGATCAAATGTTTACAAAATCACAAATTTCTCATATGTCATGTATGTGTGTTTAAAATAGAATTAATTAAAAATTATGTAGTTTTCCTTGAACTTCTGAATTGATTTGTGTGAATCTAAGAATTTGTGTATTTGTCTGTGTATATCATAATATGTCTTAATAACTAACATTTTCCATAACAATTTTACTTCTGCTAGAAAAATTTTACTGCATTCATTTGACATTAATTTATCTTTACCTGCTTTATTAATGATTCCCTGCTGCTAACACAGAAAGAATCTGAGGAAGGAAGCTGGGCCCAGGTAGGAAATTCATATGCTTTACAGCAATTTATATCATCTAGTAGGCTATGAGGATGAGCAGTAAAAAAACTGTCATATCTTATTAT